AGTACCTATATTACCGTGCTAATAATTGATTTCAGTGTCTCAGTTTCCTGCTACTTTAAGGATTAACTCTGAACAAAGTGTCTGTCATAAAATTGTGACAATAATGACCCATTACAGATCGATTTGCGCGATTTCCTATACTGAAATGCTAGATGCATTAGAATTACTATTAAACCCATTAGTCTTGGTTTACTTTATGCAAACTTTTATTTTTCATCAATATTGATACTACATATGATGCAGGCACAGCAAGTTAAAATTATGTATCTTTATCGATAACTGAGGTTTTTAAAGTTTGCGCTACAAAACCGTACATCATTTAGCGTTCTTCTACAAGTTAGCGATTCCATTGTTACCCATTGGTAGACCGACAGTTCCCATTTCGTTTGACCCAAAATAAGCGTGCGCCTACGTCACCATCATTGTATGTAACATTGTGTTGTTCGAAACAATCAGTTACATCCAACTAGGAAGAGCATGCGCTATGCAATGTAACCACTGCACGATACCTGCACTGTCTTTCAATGGTGAACTCTATTTCTTATGCAGTAAGATTGAGAATGTAATGATAGAGTCATTGCAGCAATCGAGTAAGCTACACGCTAGGTCTAGTATTATGCTAATTATGACATTTCTCAGCTTTCTGCAAACTGAAATGTCAAGGAAAGTGTGTTTTCAAATCAACGGCTATTTATTGATTTCTAATGATAAATACGTTAAAAACGGTAGTGGTTTATTTTTATAGCCGGTTTAACAAGGGCCTTTACTTCCCGTATAGGCCTACTAAGGAACTATAAATTTTCATGGTATGAAAATGACAAAACGTTAGTTGTAATTACCATCATCGACATCGAAGTTCCATTTCAAATTAATTAAATTAGGGATTTCCCGATATTAACTCTTTTTCTTCGTTTCCGAGAAATCGTAAACATTACTTTGAAATTCCAAATGAATTATCGATATACTTTTGAAAGCAAAATTGCAAATTCCTCAGATTTTACTAGAATGTTTGAAATTGGAGAACTAGTAGACTAGTTGTAGTAGGCTATCAATATGTTTATTAGTGCAGAAATATCCGTTAATTAAATTTTAGATTCATTGTTAATTTATTGCCCATAAAGTAGTTAATGTTTAATGAAAACCGGTCCAGATATTATGTGTTCCACAGACTCTGATGTGATGTGTATGATTATGTTTGACTTACGAGTATGTTGCCCGTGACTACGCTATTATAGAAAGATGCTGCAGTGGAATGTGAAAATTACTTCTAAGTCCTTGTTTAGTCTAAATATAACAATAGTACCTAATCTTCTGCTTTGTTCAATTAATTAAATTACCAGAGTTATTAAAGTTATAATTGGATTGACTTTCTTAGATATTATCGATATCGATAATAACTTCATATTACACTTGAATCACGTCAACAATCACGAAAAGCGTAGGCACGTAAAATAATCAAATAATAGAGCAATCGTATCTACTTATTGCATCTTTTATTGTTAAATTAACAGCACCAACCGTATGCGCCCGCGCACGCTAATTTGCATCCAAACTTCCGTCGTACTGAGCAACCGCGCATGAGTGCCTCTCCATAAATCATTTGCCAACATTTCAATAAAAAATTGCGTTTCAATATGCAATTTACGTTGAATGCCATTCGTTGGACCAATTCATTAACGCATTATGCCTCTATGGAGGTAAAAAAAAACAAGTGGACTGTATCTAAATACTTATTTAGCGGGTGCGGGGTTTCCAATAAAGCGGGGTCAATCAAAGAACTACCAACGCAAGCTGGCCTGCGGCGATGGATTTTACAAAGAATTGATGGCGAACATAGCGGTCGGTACCTCGTATAAAATGCTGAAAAATGCCGGGCTGTGAGAAACAACAATAGAAAGCAGCCCGGTGGAAGAAGAACAGGATTGCACGTACCTTTTACTCGTGGTTGTTGCGGATGGAGTTGCAAGGGCTCCTTTCAGATACCTCGTAGACCACACGCTCGAGCACATAGGCGGTCAGGACAATTTCTCTTCCATCCAGGACGCAAGATGCACATTACGTAACACTTTTCAGTAAGAATAACGATCACTAGGCACACAAGTTCAGGGTATACCGAAAACAAAATACAATAATTGTGAGAAAAAAAATCACAGGAGCGGTCACGGGTCACGCATTCATCACTTCCCGGCGGTGCGTTCGAAACTCAAACTTTTAATTCGCAGCGACCTCTCGCGGTTGATGCTGAAGGCGCTTAGTGGCGCTAAATATGTTCGTAAAATGAGTCAAAATAAATACTCTTTAATTAATAGCGCAACCAGGAATAATATTGTTATTTTAGGAGTATTTATGCCTCTTAGAAAATATTATGGAGTGAAGCCAACTCAATGCCAAATCATTAAATTTTTCCAGTATATTCTGATGCGTGCGAGTGTGTCTATTTTTTAAATATATTTTTACCTTCTGCCTTTTTATAAAAGCCATCAAAACGACCGATTTGATCTGAATAACCCGGTCTACCACTGCCCTCAGACACTTAAAGCATTATTTAAATTCTTAGGAAACGGCCCAGCATGGTAGTTTTTCTGTCAATTAAATCATATGAAAGTTCATTTGGATTCCGCCAATGGTTCCGCTGGATTACGTAAACTGCCTTCCTCATGCCAGCATTTGTAAACCAAAACTTAACTGCTGGTATCCACAGACGCATTGATTTAAATTAGACACTGCATTATTCAGGAGCTATAGCCCGACCAGGAACATAAAAACCCTCGCCATGTTGCGGAAAACTAATGGTACTAATTTCTTTTAATGGCAACAGTAACTGAAAACTTCATTGACATGTCACCTTGCATGTCAGTCTATTGCTGTCAAAGTGTAAACAAACTTTATTTTAAATGTACGCAACTGATTTTGTGAATTAAATTGCTAAAATCTTTTTATAGTCGTCAAAGAAAAGTGGTTCACAATGTGTTAAAGTATTTGTCGAAGAGAAATACTAAGGATTCGGACAATATTTTCATTGAATAATGTTTCCGACAAAGGTTGTCAAATTGACTGACATGTTTATCGTATAGTACAGTCCACTATGAAAATTAGCTGTGGTTTGTTTCAACTACCTATTTTAAATTTTTTGTCACTTTCTAAGTGTTGAATTTTATGGAATTGGGAAAGAAGTACCGAGTTTGAAGCGTTCATGAGCAGACATTGCAGTTGAATATTCAAGTTCTGAATTTGATTATTGATGAATAATAAAATAAATCCTACTAGCTCGATTGATGGTTTCATTTAATTTATTTAAACCAGGTTACTTATAATAATATGTTTTCGTTAATTTATGAAAATATCAAATTAACCCGTAATCCTGAATCCTGATACATAAAGTTAGCCTATTAATTTAACACAGGTACGACTGTACTCAGTGTTGCACTATCAAATGCAATTGACGCGCCTCTATGCCAGGGTTTTTATGTTCCTGGTCAGGCTATACGGTATAAACATGGAGACTTGAAGTAGGTGGAGGTAGCGGAAAACATTTTTCAGGATAGTAAACAATTTTACAATTAGGATTGCAAGATGTTTACATTGGTATTACTTCAATAAGTAATATTATTATCCAATCAATCAATATTACAGATTTTCATTAATTTAAAAACATTATTTGAAAAAATATCTACATATTAATTCTTGTGGCAGTTGTGATGATTAATAAAGATGCAGGATTTGTAAGACTAAGTAGGTAATTGTGCGTTTAAAGAAGTCGCTTTCAAAGTCATCGACTTACTTTTTAATAGCGTAAGTAATTGGCTATTAAGCAGGTTTATATCTGAAGTTATGTGATGATGCTGCAAAAAGACGATTATTTCACTTCGGACGGCATCATTTGGCTCTGGGCATAATGTAAGAGCAATTTCACATTATGTAATTTACATAATACGAGTAGGTATTATTTCCTACACTTACACAAATCTAAGGTATTGGAAAACACATCAATTCATCACATATCTCATCATCTAAGTTCATTAAAATGGTCAGTATATTATATTTTTATTCATACAAATAAATAAGACGAAAACAAAAAAAAACTATACAAAGTGTAACGATACTGTGTGCTCTTATGCAACAGAATATTTTGGTAGCGGATGTATTTTGTTGGCAACAAAGAACATTGATTTAGTTTTCATAATCGAATAATTAATCAAATAAACGCAATCGATGAGTTGCTATTGCTTCATGAACTCGCCTGATGTTGCACATTCATATTTGGTGGGTAATGAGGCGCAAATTCTCACTAACAATTTGTCAATATTGACTTCAATATTATTTATGAACAACGAATGGTTGTGTGTTTAGTTAATATTTTTTTCGAATAAATTCTACTTTTGTACGCGTGCCACGTTGGGCGCCATCTGGTAACATGAAAGGTTATTTTTTCAGCATGATAGCCTCTGGTATACCTACACCACTAAATTTTTATCACCGAACTTAATGAGTTATTGATACTGATCCTATTTTATGCAAAAAAAAGTTAAATAAAGTTACTAGGGTCGCTAGCACTATTTACGTAAGATAATGTAACACTTATTAGAACTCAACATGGTCTAAGTTAGCTAAGTATGTAATAATAACACTGGAAGCGTGGTCGAGGCGTGAGCGAGACAGACAGATCTGGGTAATATGCGAGCGCGTTCGACTACTCTAGCGAACAGCGGAGTGACCCACCCAGCTGTGTGTTAAATTTTTCACACGTTTCTACATAACCTGTTAAAAAAATTTTTCGGTGATAAAAATGTAGTGGTGTATATTTTATATTGTGTAACATTTAGATAAATATCTCCTTACATCCCTAAAGAATATATACTGGTAGGTTTATACTGCGCTGTAGTACTTATTTTATCAGGATTTCTGGATGTCCTAACTGGAATGCATACCAATATACTAATTTAAGAACTAACTGTACGTAGTCTCCAACGACTAAACTCACTATCATTATCCTTCAACAGACTAGAAATCCTGAAAGCCGACTCCTCGCTAAAAAGCAAAGCGAAGCGCAACGAGTGGACATGGAAGGCACAGACCGACGTGGTCAAGTGGCAGGCGACGCCGCTGCGCGCGCCGTTACTACGCCTGCCGCCTGCGCTCGCGCCGCCCGCGCTGGAATGTTTCACGTGCGTGCGAGCGTATTGCGGAGACCTCACGCCGCCTGAGCGACCGATGCACCAGGACTTGACTGAAGTGAAATGCGTCTACACTGTGCTGATGGTACGTTCCCCTATTTACAGACCAATCTGTAATATTCGTAGTTCAGGCGACGGTACATTTAGCTAAAGACTGTGCCATCTTATGTAGCTGCCATGGTTTCAAAAATCATTCTCTCGTCTCGTGTTCTCTACTTTTTTTTTATCCACAACGAACTCGAGCTCTTGGCCTGTATCTCACCTGATGGTAAGTGATGATTAGGCCGAAGGTGGAAGTGAACTTCACCCGGAATCCTCAACCACGGAGGAACTGGCTATCTTAGTTCTTACCTCTAACTGCCGGAACACAACAATGCTGTTAACATTGTTGTTATGGCGACAGACTTAGATAAGATGGTGGTAGCTAGCCAGGCGGACTTAGAACAAGCCCTACCACCAACCAAACCGAACAGAAAAATCTGCCCCCACTGGGAATCGAACCCGGCACCTCTGCGTCTGAAGCAGGTGGTCTTACCACTAGACAACAGAGGCGGTTTAATTCTTCTAGTTTAGGCTAGACTAGACTAGTAGAGCTGGTCTCTCGGAAACCCAAATTATCTACTGACTGACTAATAGTCTACAAAATCATTTCATTCTTAGTTCTGGAAATCAAGGCAGTTTTTTAATTTGTTGAAAGGTCTAATTTAGAAGCTCGAAACTCTAAAAGTTGAGTGAAGTCTTTCCAACTGCCTTTGCCACCAACCGCGTTATCTTGTGTCTGTGATAACCCGAGTTTATCAACATCTAATACCTTTATTCCTTGCAGCATTGCCACTCTGTTCCGGAGCTGCGCGACGAGGTGTACTGCCAGCTGATGAAGCAGACCACCTCCAACCGCTCGGCCGCGCCCGACTCGTGCCAGCGTGCCTGGCGGCTCATGTCCATACTAGCGGCCTACTTCACGTGCTCGGACACGCTCAGGTATGGACGCTCTATGTTCTTGTATCTGCTGCCACTGAGTTGGAACTACAGGTGTACTGCCAGCTGAAGCAGACCTCCAACCGCTCGGCCGCGCCCGACTCGTGCCAGCGTGCCTGGCGGCTCATGTCCATACTAGCGGCCTACTTCACGTGCTCGGACACGCTCAGGTATGGACGCTCTATGTTCTCGTACTACTGCCACTGAGTTGGAACTACAGGTGTACTGCCAGCTAAAGCAGACCACCTCCAACCGCTCGGCCGCGCCCGAGTCGTGCCAGCGCGTCTGGCGGCTCATGTCCATACTAGCGGCCTACTTCACGTGCTCGGACACGCTCAGGTATGGACGCCCTATGTTTTGTATCTACTGCCACTGAGTTGGAACTACAGGTGTACTGCCAGCTGAAGCAGACCTCCAACCGCTCGGCCGCGCCCGACTCGTGCCAGCGAGCCTGGCGGCTCATGTCCATACTAGCGGCCTACTTCACGTGCTCGGACACGCTCAGGTATGGACGCCCTATGTTTTGTATCTACTGCCACTGAGTTGGAACTACAGGTGTACTGCCAGCTGAAGCAGACCTCCAACCGCTCGGCCGCGCCCGACTCGTGCCAGCGCATGTCCATACTAGCGGCCTACTTCACGTGCTCGGACACGCTCAGGTATGGACATTGGACACTATGTCACTTGGAAATAAATAAATAAAAATAAAAATGTTTCTCTACCAATTATATTATTTTCTACACTGGTTTGACTGTTGTATTTAAGTGGATCTAGTCATCAAAACTTAGGCTATGATTCGTAAAGAAACGACTGTTTCTACATCTCGTCGGGTCGTTTAAAACTTTAAGACCAATCAAAAAAGCGGCTACGAAGATGAATCAGCTTAGCATCCATTGTTTTCCAGCTAGATTACGTTATATTTCAACTGCAACTCCTGTGTAAGCAGGATCTACATCTAGACCAAAACTATAAGTCCAAGTCCAATGACAGTTTCTAGAAAGAATAGTGAAAGGCTGATTATTACCTGAAGAAAATAGAAGGAACTTTAAAACTAAGGTCTACTTTTCATCTAAAACCACTAACAAAGAGCTTGACGAAGTTAGGTGGAAACTGTGTACTTTAATAGAGATAATAATGTTAAAAAATTAAAAATGTGTCGTGTTGTTCCCAGGCCGTTCCTAGTGGAATACCTATCAGCGGCAGCCGCGGACAGGCGGCGGCCGTGCCAAGGCACAGCAGCCGTGTGTCTCGCCAACCTGCGCAAGACTTTACGCTGTGGTGGCAGGAAGAACGTGCCCAGCGTAGAGGAGGTAACAACCAATAATTTTACCATCATTAAGTCATTTATGCCCGTTTTCACCATCAATCTCTAATATTTAAGTAACCCCTATGACAAAAATATCTTATATGTGTTACTATAGTAGAGCTCACTTAAAAAAAAATAGGGATTGATAATGAAAACGGGCATCAGTCTCCACTTCAGGAGGACAAACCCCGTCTAATTTACAAGTGAGAATTAGGCCTACACTCCCCACTCTCTCTCTTGTCTAGACGGGGTTGGGGAAGCCAGATGTTTACACATTTCCTACTTCTTAATATATCCACAGGCACGTTAAAAGTTGGTCATTTGGAATGTAGTCAATAACAAATCCCAACTAATATTATAAATGCGAAAGTAACTCTGTCTGTCTGTCTGTCTGTCTGTTACGCTTTCCCGCTTAAACCTCGCAACCGATTTTGATGAAATTTGGCATAGAGATAGTTTGAGTCCCGGGAAAGAACATAGGATAGTTTTTATCCCGGTTTTTGAAACAGGGACGCGCGCGATAAAGTTTTTCTGTGACAGACAAAATTCCACGCGGGCGAAGCCGCGGGCGGAAAGCTAGTTACTAATAATCTTTAAAAAAAAATAGGATCGCTAGGGTTGGAAATGTTGGAATAACATCTTCGCCTTTGACCTCGAGAATAACTAGTTTCATGGGAACATTTGTTATTCAAGGTAACCAGTGAGCTACACGACATGCAACGTGTTAAACTGTGTTTTACATCAGGTGACAGCGGTATCAGCGGGGCGGTCAGCGAGGCGTCAGTTATACAGACTGCCGGGCGGCGCCGAGCGAGTCGTCAATACGCGCTGCGCCACCGTCGTGCAGGACATCGTCAACGAGCTGTGCGAGCTGGTTAGTAGCAGTTAAAGCTTTCAGGGCGATGGCTATGTAGTTGGCAGTGTGTTTTGAACTTTATTACAATGGTCGGAAGGTCCAATGTGGAATTTGAGCTGATATTGTCCGTTAAAAACTTAAAAGTCATATTATCGAGAGACCCGTTTAGCATAAATGGAGAACTACAAAAAATATCAAGGTTGTAAAATTACCGGAATTTTTGACACCAACAAATTGATCTGAACTCCACTTTTATACAAGTCGAAATACTTGAGCCCAGAGCTTCTGTGTGCAACCTGTACAGATGTAAGTATGAGATTAAGATCTTAGGATATAGGTAGGTAGTTATCATAAATTCAAACAAAGCCCGGGGGTTTTTTCTTGCATGTATCTTTTTGGTATTGATTATTATCTTTGCTGGCTTACATGATTTGACTTTACCATGTCAACCACAGATCGGCGTAACCAGCGAAGCGGAGCGCGCTGAGTTCTCGCTATACTGCATAGTGGCCGGCGACGCGCTCACCATGCCTCTAGCCGGCGACGAGTACGTGCTCGACGTCACCACCGAGTTACAGCGAGCACACCACCCCTTCTACCTCATCTTCTGCCGCTCTGTGTGGCACCATCCGCTACGGACTGACGCGCCACCGCTGTACACAGAAGTTCTGTTCAATCAGGTAATTACAGCTTACAAAAATGAAAAACTGGCTATAGGTATTGAAAAACTCACTATAGCGAGTGACGAGTTCGTCCTCGACGTCACCACCGAGCTGCAGCGAGCGCACCACCCCTTCTACCTCATCTTCTGCCGCTCTGTGTGGCACCATCCGCTCCGGACTGACGCACCACCGTTGTACACAGAAGTTCTGTTCAATCAGGTAACTATAACTTACAAGTTAAACTGCAAACGCTTATATGACGGGTCACGAGTACGCCCTCGACGTCACCACCGAGCTGCAGTGAGCACACCACCCCTTCTACCTCATCTTCTGCCGCTCAGTGTGGCATCATCCGCTCCGGACTGACGCGCCACCGCTGTACACAGAAGTTCTGTTCAATCAGGTAATTTTAACTTACAATTTCAATTAAAAACTCACTATAGCGAGAAAAAGTACGTGCTCGACGTCACCACCGAGCTGCAGCGAGCACACCACCCCTTCTACCTCATCTTCTGCCGCTCTGTGTGGCACCATCCGCTTCGGACTGACGCGCCACCGCTGTACACAGAAGTTCTGTTCAATCAGGTAACTATAACTTACAAGTTAAACTGCAAACGCTTATAATGATGGGTGACGAGAGTGCTCGACGTCACCACCGAGCTGCAGCGAGCACACCACCCCTTCTACCTCATCTTCTGCCGCTCTGTGTGGCACCATCCGCTTCGGACTGACGCGCCACCGCTGTACACAGAAGTTCTGTTCAATCAGGTAACTATAACTTACAAGTTAAACTGCAAACGCTTATAATGATGGGTGACGAGAGTGCTCGACGTCACCACCGAGCTGCAGCGAGCGCGGCACCCCTTCTACCTCATCTTCTGCCGCTCTGTGTGGCATCATCCGCTAAGGACTGACGCGCCACCGCTGTACACAGAAGTTCTGTTCAATCAGGTAACTAAACTGCAAACACTTACTAAACAAACGCTTATGACGGGTGACGAGTACGTGCTCGACGTCACCACCGAGCTGCAACGAGCGCACCACCCCTTCTACCTCATCTTCTGCCGCTCTGTGTGGCACCATCCGCTCCGGACTGACGCGCCACCGCTGTACACAGAAGTTCTGTTCAATCAGGTAATTTTAACTTACAATTTCAATTAAAAACTCACTATAGCGAGCGAAGAGTACGTGCTCGACGTCACCACCGAGCTGCAGCGAGCGCGGCACCCCTTCTACCTCATCTTCTGCCGCTCAGTGTGGCACCATCCGCTAAGGACTGACACGCCACCGCTGTACACAGAAGTTCTGTTCAATGAGGTAATTTTAACTTACAATTTCAATTAAAAACTCACTATAGCGAGAAAAAGTACGTGCTCGACGTCACCACCGAGCTGTAGCGAGCGCACCACCCCTTCTACCTCATCTTCTGCCGCTCTGTGTGGCACCATCCGCTCCGGACTGACGCGCCACCGTTGTACACAGAAGTTCTGTTCAATCAGGTAACTAAACTGCAAACACTTACTAAACAAACGCTTATTATGATGGGTGACGAATGTGCTCGACGTCACCATCGAGCTGCAGCGAGCGCTCCACCCCTTCTACCTCATCTTCTGCCGCTCTGTGTGGTACCATCCGCTCCGGACTGACGCGCCACCGTTTTACAAATAAGTTCTTTTCAATCAGGTAACTAAACTACAAACAGTAAGCAAAACGCCTTGACGTCACCACCGAGATGCAGCGAGCACACCACCCCTTTTACTCCATCTTCTGTAGCTCCATGTGGCATGACCCGCTCCGGACTTAGGGCCCCACGGCGATTTTTGTAGCGATGCGATAGCGATGTAGCGCATTAGTAGCGCGTTGGCATCACTTCTGTAGTGCGTTGCAAATGCGACTAACGCGCGTTAGCTACTAACGCTGTCGCTCGTTTACGAGTCGCTGAGGGCGAGGGCCCTTAAAAGCGTTTCAGCTCGGAATGACAACTTCTCAAAATGACAACCGAAATGACAACTTCTTAAAATGTCAACTTCGCTAAAAGACAACTTCTCATAATGTCTATTTCTCACAATGACAAATTCGCATTTGGTCAACTTCGCATAATGTCAACTACTTGTTGATATTTTATTTTCATTATTTCTAGAGTTCTAGTTCTTCTAGAGTTGTCATTATGCGAAGTTGACCTAATACGAATTTGTCATCGTGAGAAATAGACATTATGAGAAGTTGTCTTTTAGCGAAGTTGACATTTTAGGAAGTTGTCATTTCGAGAAGTGGACATTTTGCGCTCCGGTTGTCATTTTGAGAAGTTGTCATTACGAGCTGAAACGCTTAAAACTTCCATCTCATGTGTAACATCGAACTTATTTTCCTTCCCAGGTGGCCCCAGACTACTTAGAAGGCTTACTACTAGTACTACCCAACGGCGGTGCGCCGCCCGCGCCCGCGCTACGAGACGCTGCCCTAGTAGCAGCACTCCTACACCGCGCCGCCGCGTTGCCCGACGCGCCTCACGCTCGTGACCTCAAGTTCCTGCTGCCGAAGCCGCTGCTAGCGCTGCGGGAGCCGAGAGCGCACGCCTGGCACAACTGGGTTGCGGCTGAGTGGCCGCACGCTCGTGCGCTTTCGCCGGCCGCTGCTAAAGCTAAAGTGCTACAGGTATGTAACAGCTGGATAAATACTACAAGACTTTCAATAAAAGCATCGAAGTCTAGCAATAAGTTAATCTTCCCAGGGCCACCAGCTGAAGGATGCGCGCCATGATATTGTTTATCGACGTCAAAATGTATCGCCAAAATGTATCGACAAAGTCTATAAAATGGCTTATCACTTCGCGTATCCTAGGCCTACTGATCACTAAGGAAAATCTGTTTATGTAAAAAAATTACCTATATGTAACTTAAATCGACTTTTTTTGACGGTTAATACCTACCACATAACGTTAATACTTACCACATAACGTTAATACTTACCACATAGCAACGGAAGGGTACCTGCTTCTGCTGCACACGCCAAAGGTTTAATGTAATCTGGGCACGTTGAGCAGAGACAGGAAAAGTTAAGTATTTATTGTTCGTCGAACAACGGGACTTAACGGGACTATTCCCACCTCTCTTTCCGACCGCTGCAACTCCTATGTAGCCAGGATCTACAGCTTGACCGCCAATAAAACCCAACCAGTGAAGTTTTTAGGGTATGTCGAACCCCCATTAGACATGGAAAAAAGAATTTCTCTATTTGTATTTTGTGTTCCGGCGTTTCTTCTCAGCACTTGCCATATGTTTGTCTCATTTCTACTAGTATCTTAATATGTAAGTCTAGATATTAGCACGTCACTACCTTGTTTAATATACCACGCAATCTTGTATACCCATTCTTATAAGATACACCATACAAGAATGCATGGTAAATTCAGTGAACTGCTCCTGAATCGAATGTACCTACTACTACTATTTCTATTTATTTATATTAACCGGCAGACAGTGGTGACTGAGTTTGTTGCGGCGCTTCTTCTCAGCACTTGCCAAATGTTGGTCTCGAAGCGCTGGTAGGGTAAAAAGATTATGAGACATGTAGAGGCTCCTTAAGAGCAAAATGACGATTTGTAAGAACTATTTATTAGTCCAAACAAATAAAGAAATTTTGACTTTGACTTTGACTTTGAAGCGCTGGTAGGGCCCAAAAGATAAGGAGACATGTAAAGTGCCCCATAAGGGCTACCTTTTCTTTTTATTTTCTATTGACGTTCATAAGTGCCACTTGTGGTCTATCTACTATATAAAAATAAGTCGGGTTTTCCTCCCTGACGCTATAACTCCAGAACGCACGAACCGATTTCCACGGTTTTGCATTCGTTGGAAAGGTCTCGGGCTCCGTGAGGTTTATAGCAAAGAAAATTCGGGAAAAGGTGGTAAAACGGGATCCACGCGTACGAAGTCGCGGGCGGCCGCTAGTACTGAATAAATATTTTTGATCTTGATTTTGATTTTAACGTGTATCGCAGGTCCTGTCCCGCTGGGCGCTATTCGGGTCGTCGTTCTTCGCGGTGCGTCGCGTGGGCGGCGCGGGCGCGGCGGACTGGCGCGAGCACGTGCTGGCGCTCAACCGGCGCGGCGTGCACCTGCTGCACACGCACACGCACGAGACCGACACGCACTGGCCCTACGCAGAGCTCATCTCCACCAGGAAGGTGCGTATGAATGGCAAATCTAAGTGACCATAATAGGGATTACTCTGAGAAACGTTATCCGAAGATTTGAATGTAAATTCCTCTCAAGCATATCAAGATTCCAGCACGACGGTGACAATAGACCCGAAACTACGCAGTTCCGAAGTAGCCTTTCGCTTTTCATGCGAGGATTTTTAGCAGTTGACAGGTGTCACGAAAATCGACGCACTCTCAGCTGTGCCGAAACACAATATCTTTTTACGACCGATTCAATACGAACGTGACGATGGCTTCGGCGACTATCACTGTACCGCGCTCCGTCGCGTAGCGCAAGGTTACGTGCATTCGCAGCACAATGCTGCTTTGCACGATGATGCCGATTTGGGCCTGCTGTATAGAAAACACGCGCGCGTTACCTGTCGCCCCGTGGACCGCAGCGGAATGCGGTGCAGTGGGATAATCGCCTTATGGTGCGCCCAGTTTAGACGCACCATTGCACATATTATTGACGCGAAGCGATAGTTTAATCCCGTTGTACGCCCATCCCCCAAGATGTACAACTAATAACTGAATCTTTGCCCCTCAGGTGCGGTCGGAGGACGGCACGCTATTCCTGGACGTGAAGTGCGGCTCGCTGCTGCAGCAGCGCGTGACGCGGCTACAGGCGGAGCAGGCGCACGAGATCGCGCGCCTCGTGCGCCAGTACGTGGCGCTGCAGCGCGACCAGCGCCACGACAGCGCCGGTGAGCACACACTAAAGTCTGTTCGCCGAGAGTTGAAAAATATTATGAAATGTCTTGCAATAGCGACTGTCGCTTAATTATCGCATTCTGTATGGCGGGCGTCGTTTGTCACAACGCACACTGAGTACCATGGTACGAGCCACGCAGCTGTCGTCAAGCGCCCCGGCCGGCGGGCGGCGGCGGCCACAGCGTGACCACTTTTAGTAGATTTCTACTTTTTTGGTAGATTTGAGGCAAAGAGAACGATGATTTAGTAGTGCGAAATCGTTTAGTAGATAATTGGTTTTTTTAGAACATTCTTATAAATGGTAGTCCAAAATTAAATTGTAACCGAGGCGAGAATCCAGGCCAAAAAAAAAGGTTAGGCCAAATAATCTACCAACTTTTTCATTATATCGACAAAAATAATTAGCGGGCCGCAATTTATAATGAGTTTAGAACCTCTGATATTTAATTTTTTTTATCAATTCTCGGCGAACAGACTTTACACTACACTAAGGCTGGGTTGCACCATCTTACTTTAACTTTGACAAACGTCAAAAATCTGTCAAACTCCATACAAAAAACACCGCAATAGTTACGGTCAAAGTTAGGTGGTGCAACTCAGCCAAAAGCTTCAACGCGACCCGTGACAGTCCACGCGACCCGTGACAGTCCACGCGACATGTCGCGCCGGCGCCGGCGATAGCGATCTGCGTTTGTGTGGTTGAAGCATAATAACAATAACAACAGGCTGCGTAAATATCATCGCAGAAAACCGTTTTTGTATGTTGTACACTCGGACCAAATAAGGGTGTCAAGCAACTGGACGCACAAAATGTCTGCGTTAGCGCAGCGTTCTTTAGGTTTTAAAAACTTGGTAAAAATAGATTGCTTCAGATGGGTAACCCATCACGACTTACAGCTAGCCAGGTGACTTCTCTGGCCGCTGAGCTACCCTGGGCTATATTGGGTAATCCCGTCGAAATTTTCAAACTTTTAGGATACAGGAAACCGGATCATTGTATGGTGTTAAGTAGAAGCATCTGGACACTAAAAGTATCTGACTTAACTTATCAGTCTTACCACCACAATTATTACCACTGAGCAACTAAGCTACGGAAACATGGGCAACTATTAATAAGCTTTCTAAATTCTATATTACATAACTATTCCTAACTTTTCTTTCTTTTTGCTTTCAGGGTTCAGCTCCTAAGGTGACGCAGTCTTATCTCATAAGATGTGCAGTGTATATTTCTGGATCAGCTGTTTGCAGAGCGTTCGTGTACCTCATCCATATCAACAGATTCCGTCCGATCGTTGGTCTCAAGTCTCAAGCAAGCGCTACTCGACTACAATAAAGAGCTTATATGACGCCATGATGCGAGACTGCCGCCCTTGTCTAATCTGGGCCGAACGAAAGAGACAGTGGCTCTTATGACTGTGTCGAGTATAAACGGTATATTATTGTATTAGCATGTAAACCAGATTGAAATGAGAATAGGATTTGCTAGGGCTCAAATAAATGCGTTCATACAATGCATGCAATACAAATAAATCTTCTATTTTCATTTTAGTCATCATTATTGTTTACTTTATTCTACATTATGAAGGATTATGTTATTTCATTTAATAGTTTAGGTTTAGCGTCATTCTAAACATTCCAAAACTGTAACCATCGAACATGATATTATTTTTATCAATATTTTAGTAATTATATTTGGCATAATATTATCAAGATTCAATGCAATTGTTAATCATCTAGTACATATATTTTTATATAACTTTTATAAGAATACTTTAATAATTCATAAACCTGGAATATATTAATAGGTATAATCACCATCAAAGTTGTATGAATCTCTGTTGTTTTGAACTGAAATTATTTCGATAGATGCAAGTTTACATAATATTGTTGTATACAAAACATATAGAACTTTAAATTAAAACAAAATCGAATGATAAAATCTTACGAATCTACTTTTAATATATTTCTATATCGTTTACCTAACATAAAATCTGCATTAAAACAAATAGTCGCAATAATTCCCAAATCCAATACAACCGTTAGGTAACTTCAATCATTAAACAAGTTCTACTAAAGATTAATTGATAATGAACACGTTTGTAGGTACAGTACATTATTTTAGTGTTTATTATTGTAATTATGTAGATGAGACGATACATTTTGTCGTGAATGGAATTCGTATTATGATTATTGAATAGTATTGTTAATTTCCATCGACAAAATATACAAGTCTTCGGTTACGACTTAATATAGTTTACTCCGTGCCTTATCAATGTGACTGTCTTCCTCGAGTTAAACAAAAGGTGCTATTTATAATAATTGAAGTCTATTTCGTACTTAAGGGAATTGTTTCGATGCACGTTTATTACCTTGTATGAAATTATCTAAAGACCGGCAAGGTCGCAGTCATGTTTATTTTAAAGTTTGTCATGTAATATATTTAAAAATATTCGATGTACGAGAATTATATTGTAGATACCAATAAAAGTTTTATTTTGAAATGGTTTTTGTTTTCTTTTTTAGTGAATTTTTACCAGATATTTTTATGTTTACACACGGCAAGTTAATACCAACAACTAGGGAAATGAATTATTTAAAATATGCAATTGCGTACGTAGGTAGACGTCGCTTACATAATACATACACGACTGCAATGCAAACTATCTCAAAGAATACTCAATAGCAATAGGCAGCACTACTTTGTTAACAATCTTTTATCTTTTCTAGCCATCTAGATTTCTTTTCTGAAGCAAATAAGTTTATTGAAATGAGAATGGAAGTACTGATATGTATGTTTATCACTCTTTGTAGTTTTACATTGTAATATGGTAAAAAAATTTTGCTAGAGTTAGCAAACTTGTAACAATAGAATATTAATTGATACCGATAAGAATGTAGGACATAACAACAAACTAAAATCAGTGGTAAAACAAAAAGATATTTAAAGAAGAAAAAATATTTAGTTAACTGTTAGTAAATTACTACGAAAAGAAGCCTAAAATGGGCGTAAGCTCATGATTATCGTAACAAGCCAAAATTCAGAAACTAGGTATATGATTGCGCAATCATTTATCAATTAATATCGGATAAAAGTTACTTCTCTCTTTATTTCAACATAACGATCTTGATACAGTCTATAAATTAATTACTGGTAAACCACCAAAAACGAGAGACAGGCGAAATAAACAAAAAAGAGTTAAGAACTTTTTCAGTAGAAAGTTACTCGATTCACTTTCTTAAACTGCCGAGTTTTTAAAACGATACAATCATAGGTAAGTTAAGTAGGTACCTTCATTAAATCATCTTTTATAGGTATATTTTATAACAATTAAAATAATAATGTCAAGCTACAAATATTCTAAATTTTAATTAACAAACTTTTTGTTCCGGCTACATACTTATGCGAACAAAGCTTTTGGAAAAGGCCGATTAAATATTTTATTTGTTTAGGAAGACTGTAACCGTGGGTTTTTCTCATATAAAACTTTACTAACAACCGGAACAACGATAGCAATTTGTTAAAACGCGAATTTGTTCGTTGCGTCGATAAAAACATTTATCTTGAAGATCGCGTTTTCCACTTTTCGGTGACTAATTCTTTTTTCCGTGTCTCCGGCGGAGTGCATTCAGTATTGTTTGCCGCTCAGGGTTGTACCGAAGCGTTACTCAGGCTTTAATTTCATTAATTAAGTAAGAAATTAGGTACCTACTAATGATGCCTACAACTGAGTGGGAATTTGTTGGAAAACTAGGGCCAAGATCAATATAAAAATCGTGGAAATTAAGTTCAGGAATATGAATGTTTTGTCAAAAATTAAGACGATTATCATCCATCAAAAAAAAACACGAAATATTTAAAAGACATTCATTGCTTACACATAAAGTCCAAATCCAGCCCCTTTAACGACCCTTTTATGGTAGGTAGGTACCCTTAAGTGGAACTTGAGTAAAAATAATCCAAAGTACCTACATGTATGCATCCAAAAACTAACTATACCTACATAAATGTTTTGCAAGGAAAATTATCTTGCCTGTACAACGACCCTGTCAGCAACCCTATATGGGAGGCATCAGCTGGCGCGAAGGCTGCGCGTTTTTTCCCACGCGGCGTAAAAACGCGTCCTTTGTATGCGCTTCAAGGCTGCCGTGACATGTATGACCCGGGTACTTTGCATACGGCCTCAGAAGACATTTAAGAGCATCTTAATTAACTAGGCAAGTGCCTATAGAAATAGCTAAAGAACCAGAAAAATAAGTTAGGCCCTAACTGTTAGGTAGTAACTTACAAACAAAATGTAAGTAGTTGTAAGTTCCGGTTTCAGTTTAGCATGTTCGCTTCAGAGCTTAGTATCCCAATTTGGGTGGGTTGGGTACAAACAAACCCAACATCGGGTACCTTTATTGATACACCCCGAAACGAAACTTATAATGTAGTGGTTTTAGCTTGAATGTGCATAGCATCTCAAGCTGAAGCCGATAGGCGAGGGCATATTAAGAGCTTAAAAAAAAAAGATGACCAAATGACCATGCACTTTTTAATTTCAATAAGGAAAAGGAAGCCAACTCTAACTGAAGATTACTTTCACTCGTGTCCGAGTACAAGTCATTCAAAGTATAAGTTTTCATAGTTCTGGTCAACTAAACTTCAACATGGTTAAGTATGTCGCTAAACTAAATATAGAGGTACTCAAAACAATACAAGTAAAGCAAATCTATGTTCTAAGAGCTTGTATCTTGACAATCCACGATTTACATGCACATGCATTGTGTAATGTTACTCACCAACTACGCAATATTTACTCTTCTTGCTACCGCACGGAATACTAATATGAACAGGTGGAAACTTCTAATATCAACAGTGTCTACTCCGTAATAACCTGACCTTGCTAATATCTAAATCTAGGACAATATTTCTAGGACAGGACGGATATTATGAAGTAGTAAGTCACAATACGCTTATTGGTCAACTTCGTGTGATCAATCAAGTGCATGCATCAATAACTCAAACTTAGGTAACTACTACCTAATTTAAAAATTGTAAGTTTGTAAGCAATCGACTGCATCTTAAGAGACAATGTTTATGCTTTTAATACCTCTTGATATTATGTAATTAAACATGAATAATACCGTTCTAGTAACGATATTCCAACAGAAGCTTAGATTACAAAATATGATGACAGAACCCCGTTGAATCGTTCTAACTCTAAGTCATATACTTCTTATGGTATTTCTTGCATATAACCTTTTTTTGTTTGCACAAACAATGGATATCCTTTGTTAAATAACCAACGAAGTTACATAGTCCAAAAAATCTAATCGGCGAAATCTAATTAGATTCAAAGTCTAAACAATCTGGCAAAGTCCAGACTGGACCTCAATCTCAACCGTCATATTATCTCTAGGAAACGATATCTTCCAGATAATCCAGCGAGAAGACAGCTGTTGATTTATCATAGAAATACTATGGAAAGCTCAAACAGCTGGATAGCAACGAGAGATCAGAGTTTTGCGCAACTTCAAAGTAAAGACACTTGATAAAAAATCATGAGTATTTTGAGACGTGTAGCCTTGGAGAATCACCGCAGTTTACGCGTGAATTAAACAACCGTTTACTTCTAAAATATTGTACATTCATGCACTGACCCCAAACCTGCTATGGCTAGAAACAGGCGGTAGGTCCTACAACGAGGCCGGAGCCTACCGTGAGAATAAGTCGCGGCAATAAAATGTGTCATAATTTTATTCATTCTGCATTATAAATGAACAACAATAATTTAATGTGACTCATGTGGGGAACTGGTGTCATTAGAACCACAGAACAGTGGGCATTTGACACCATGAGGAATTGAGGTCTGAATTAACTTTGAAACCATGGACCTCCAACCTCCATGTATGTAACTTTATAATTGCGAACTTTTTTAGTTAGACGGCAAATCAAGCTAAGCATTGGGGTGTCTTAAGCAGTAATAATAGGTTTTATTTTGTAACAAAAAGCATTAGTCTAAAGTGCTGCTGTTTACTGTATCTACCTACCCGTTTCCCGAATTCGAATCAATAAAATGATCAGTCTTCGCATATGAATGTAGGTAGACATATGAACTGAGGTGTTGCTATACTTAATTTGCCCTCTAACAGAATTGATCTTATGATTCATCTACGATTAGATGAATCTACATTAATTGCTATAATGAGCTAGGGTCATAATGTATGACTGAAGATAAACACAGGAAATCGTTTCGGGAAAAACAACAGTCTCTGAAGCATTAAGTTGGAACTTTGTTACACACCAAAACCAACTCGAAAATTTTAACACCTATTGAATAGGGATAAGCACATTACAAATCATCATGATGACGTTTACTACTTTTGAGGCAAAAAAATAATGACTACCTACGGTAAAGCCTCCAAGTCCAACGCAACAAAAAGCTAAACGTTGACGCCCTAAGCTGCTGTAACGACCACTTACCATAATAACGCTAGTGACACATGGCACAATGTTACTACCATACTGGTAATTAAAGCACCTGTCACACATTCGTCTTGCGACCGCAATCTGTAGATCTAGATGACCAATGTTAAGTTTGAGTAACGCCTACGGAAGATTTTGAACAGGGACCTTTGGCTTGACGGATCATTGTTTGCAAATGATTTGGCATTTCGCTCATGATGAGGATATTTTTGATTTGACACAAATCAAGATACTCGTTTAAAGTAGTACATTTGTATTTCTAAAGTAGCGTTATAAAATGTAATTATTTTTCGACAGAGTTTAGGCTATGTTCTATGGATCCTCCATAAAAAGAAAGAGAATTCAATAAATTTTTCATATTGGATTATATCAGGAATTCTTTATAATATCTGTGATTGAAGTAAACCTAATCGTTAAAAAACAATTGACCCACTAAACAAATTCATAAAAAAGAATATTATACCAAAAATCATTTAAAACAATTGGCCTACGAAATTAACATCGATTTAATGAACATACCGAAAATAAGATGTGATAACACGCACTGCATTGGCCTTTGACATTGGTTCAGTTCGGCCGCTAATTTGTTTCGACATGATCTGTAGCACTCATTGAACCATGCACTTGGAGGTCTATTAGCGGTGCACTATCAATTTTAGCGGTATAATTGCGAAACCCATCGATGTGGAACGCAGTAGGTACCCAAGCGTGGGCTCCGAAGGTCTAAGGTCACCGGATTGTCAATGGTGCTATGTTTTTACTCATTTGCACTCAACACATGTTTATAAGAATGCACAATATTGTACCTACTTCCCGGTAAAAAATGGTAGCCTTGTTTTTGTGACTTCATTCATTCAGCGATAAATAAGGGTATTACATTAATTTTCTGCAGGTACGAGCACAATGTCATGACTCAAATTTTTGAGGAACAATGATTTCAGAAGTCGCGTGTGACCATCCGCGTCAGTGCCACTGCATGTGCCACACAAACTCATTATTTTAAAATTAACTTTAATCTCCCACTTAAGCGTT